GTGTGTGTGCGTGTGTGTATACATAGCGGGGTGAAGCAGTAGATGTTATGATTCTTTTCGTCTCCCCACCCTCCTAGCACCTCTCATTCTCATCCCCCTGATCCACATCCACCATCAACCACAACAGACCGGTCACGACATCCCCCATTCCAGCGGAACGAGAGGCCATCATCCTCTTTGTCACTCTCCGACGCCTGCCACTGGTATGGGGCTGGTGATGGTGGTGACAGTGGTGACAGTGGTGGTCGTGGTTGTGGTGATGCAAGAGCTAGGCTTATATCGACGTGACTAGCGTTTGGGACGGGGGAGAGGGGTAGACATGTGGCAACACCACACGCACATGCACGTGCACAAGAACCCGTACTCTCCTCACGTTTGTGCGTGTGTGTGTGTGATTTTGGCAGGATCTTGCGCTGGAGGCCACTGCCATGACGAAGAACCCGACAACCGCATACGTACGTGCACACACACACACACACACACACACACACACACCACCTTCTTCTGCAGGCACTTCATGATGAGTGCATCTGTTTGAGTGAACACCTGTTCATCCTCATTCTCCGTTTGTGTGTGTGTGTGTGTGTGTGTGTGTGTGTGTGTGTGTGTGTGTGTGTGTGTGTGTGTGTGTGTGTGTGTGTGTGTGTGTGTGTGTGTGTGTGTGTGTGTGTGTGTGTGTGTGTGCAGGAGGATGCGAGTCAGCGATATGTGTGTGTGTGTGTGTGTGTGTGTGTGTGTGTGTGTGTGTGTGTGTGTGTGTGTGTGTGTGTGTGTGTGTGTGTGTGTGCAGGAGGATGCGAGTCAGCGATATGCGGATCGCGTGACCACGCTGATGATGAACCAGGCAATGGACGAATCAAAGTACGTGGTGACGATGATGGTGGTGGTGGCAGCGGTGCCGTGCTTCATTTATTAGGCTTTCGAGCACAGAACACGTGTCCGCTGGTCATATCCCCTTCATTCACACGCACGATTACTCACTCACCCACTCACTCACTCACTCACTGACCCACTCACACGAAAACATACACACACCCACACTCGTGAACACACGCAAACGGCCAGGAACGTGCACGAGCAGGATGAGGCAGAGCGAACACAGAAACAGCGGACGGAGAACGCAGCGCGAAACCCGTTTACAAATCCGCATTTTGCATCAAGCAAACTCCTACCGCCATGCAAGGGCGTGAGCCATGTCACGACACTCGTGAGTCGCTGCCGTGACGGAACGAGGGGAAAAGGAGAAAGGGGAGGGGTGTGCAGTGTTTTGTTTCGGAAGCACGCAGTGTGAAGTGCGTTCCTTCACCCACACCCACACACTCCCTCACTGTCTCACAACACACACACACACACACACACACACACACACACACACACACACACACACACACACACACACACACACTCACACACACACACTCACACTCACACTCACACACGCACACTCACACTCACACACGCACACTCACACTCACACGCATCTGCATCAGGCGACAACGCAGTGCGACGATCGGAAAGTGCTGATTGAGTTGCTACAGCTTGAGGTGCGCTTCAACAAGTGGTACCGCGGTCCCGCAATGGCCTTTTTCCAGACCATTGGCAGGGCGCTCGCGGCCACAACCACACGTGAACAAGTCGTTGCGAAGCTCAAGGAGACGATGGAGAGTGAGTCACAGCACATCACAGCACGCGTGCATGCAGGGCTGCTTCGTCTTGTGTGTGTGTGTGTGTGTGTGTGTGTGTGTGTGTGTGTGTGTGTGTGTGTGTGTGTGTGTGTGTGTGTGTTGTGTGTTGTGTGTGCGTGTTTGTGTATGGTCGTGTTAATGCTCTGGTACCGCTGCGTGTTTCAATCTCGCATCGTTCACTTGTTCGCGCTTACCCCCCCCCTTCAACTCATTCCCTCTCCTCCCCATCACACACACACACGTAACAGCTGTGCAGGCGTCGCTGCGCGTCATCACGACGGAAACGCTGCCGCCGTTCCTGTCTGCGTTCCGCGAGTACATTGTGGACGAGAACGGGGAGCTGAAGAAGGACGACCTGGCAGTGGCCGTGGAAGCGGCACAGCCCAAGAAGACGGTGAAGGAGGAAGAGAAGGAAGGGAGTGACAACAGCAGTGCGAATGGCGCCATCGGGGCGGCAGCAGTGGCAGCGACAGGCAACGCACCATCATCGGATGACAGTGATGATGACTTTGTGGGCCCCAACGCCACACCAGCGCCGACGGTGGTCAAAAATTATGGTGAGGACGATGACGACGACCAAGCAAATGGAAACGGAAACGGAAATGATGCTGATGATGATGATGATGACATCATCGTGCTTGATTGAAGCAGGCCGACACCCAAACGCGCGAAACAACATGCACACACGCACAAGCACACACACATGCACACATACACATGCACACTGTACATATGTGCTTTTCGTGCTGTTCTGTGCGGTCTATGTTTCCTTCGTTGGTGTTGTTTGCGTGCTGCAACGAGTGCACGCTTGCTCGGGTGTTGGCTGGTGCGTTAGGTTGGCCTTTGTACTGTGAGCTACACCACACTGGGATTAATTTGCTAACTGATATTACACGCAACACTGTACGTAACGCTACCCTGACCACAGCCGCTCGAACTAGCACACGACACGCGCCCACCTCACGAGAGCTAAAGAGTGGCGCAGAGGCTGGCCTAATGGGGAAAAGGCTGAGCAGGACAAGAGAATACACACACACACACACACACACACACACACACACACACACACACACACACACACACACATCGCACGCACACACACACACACACGCACACACACACACGCGCGCGCACGCACGCACAGACGAAACTACACGACGCTGATGTTCGGGTCATCATCGCTTTCGTCGCCGCGGCGTTGCACAAATGACAGCGATCCGCCGTCGCCATCAGTGGCAGCAGTATTGTAGCTGTTGTTGTAGCTGTTGTTGTTGTCGCCTGCGTCGCGCCACACAGCATCCATGTCCACAACGTCACTCACGTCGTCACTGCCGTGACCACCGTGGACACCCTCCTTCACAACATCACCACCACCACCAGTGTTGTCAGTGCTTGCTGCGAGCGTCTCTTCCACAGCCTCGCGCTGCAGCTGTTCCACCATACGTCTGAAACGAGACGACGGCTGCGCCAACAGCGTTTTCGGCTCTCCAATCTCAACCGCCTCGCCGGCGTCCATCACTGGTTTGGAGAGGAGGGGGGCGAGCAGGGGTGCGTGAAGAAGGTGAGAGGAGGGGGTGATGTTCGCGACATGCATGATGCTAATCACAAATGCACACACGTACGTAAAATCGCGCGCACAAAACAAACCGTCCACACACACACACACACACACACACACACACACACACACACACACACACACACACACACACACACACACACACACACACACACACACACGCATCACTGACCGAGGACGCGGTCGCATGTGAGGATGGTGTCGAGACGATGGGCGATGATGACGACAGTGCGATCACAAAACACTGCAACGCAAAATGGGAGGATTGGGGAAAGTGCAGAGGAATATCGTGTCAGAACAGGCGATGGAGCATGCATGGAACTTGCTTCACACGCGCCACTCATGCCTTGTTCGTCTCCAACCTCGCCCCCTCGTCATCCTGCAAACAATACACGCACACACACACACACACGCACACACACTCACACACACACACACACACGCACACACACACACACACCCTCTCTCTCCCTCTTCCTGTCTCCTTGACCAAGTGACCTTGTGTGAGGACGCGCTGGATCATCAAATCCGTTTCCTGATCGACACTGCTCGTCGCCTCATCGCACACCAGCACGCGGCTCTCCCTGAATGGCGGGGGGGCAGTCAGTGCGTGTGAACGTGATGCAATGTGTGTGTGTGTGTGTGTGTGTGTGTGTGTGTGTGTGTGTGTGTGTGTGTGTGTGTGTGTGAGTGGGAAGAGTTGTAATTGTGTGACGTTTGCAAGGTAGCTGTTAGGTCACCAACAAGACATCTGCACGCCTGACCACCACCAAAGTCACCAGCACCAGCACCCGTCGTCACTCGTCACCTGAGGAGTGCGCGGGCGATACAGAGGAGCTGCCGCTGCCCGTGCGAGAACACGACGCCGCCATCGCCCTCCCCAACAGCCATGTCAAGCACCCCGTCGCCAAACCGCCTGATGACGAAGAAAGTGGTGCGGTGGCAACGGTACACAGTGAGATAGTGAGCAAGCGAGACAGAGACTGCGAAACAATGGGACAATCATGCAGCGGGGCAGTGCGAGTTGACTCACAACTCTGACGTGGACAAACACCACAGCACGTGAGCACGCGCACACATACGCACACGCCATGAAGACATGCACTCCTTTTTGCTTCTCACGTTTGCAAGTAGGAGGAAAGGTTGACGTCCGCGAGCGCCTTCCAGATTTCTTCGTCGCTGTAAAGGTGCAATGTGACACGTGTTAAGAGGAGACCAGAGCAGAAACAACTTCAAACGCACACCAAACACAAACACAAACACCAAACAAACAAACAAACAAACAAACACACACACACACAAAAGCAAACAAACAAACAAACAAACAAACAAACAAACCAGCCAAGAATACAAACGTGTGCATGGCGAGGGGGTCGAGGTTTTGGCGAACGGTTCCGTTGAGGAGGACGGGATCCTGCGGAATAATCGCAAGGCTGCGGCGCGCAACCTGACGCAGGACGCGGGGGTGGGGGAATGAATGCAGGAGACGTGGTAGCATGTGTGTGTGTGTGTGTGTGGAATGGTGGTGTAACGAGAGGCGAACACGCTGCACATGCGCACGCCCTGTCAAGCGCACTCCAACACGCACTCACTCACTCACTTCGCCACACTCAACCACAAACACCCAAAAATACGCACGCGCACACGTGCACTCGCTCAGCCACGCACACACACGCAGCACAGCACTACGGGCCGTCACCACGCGACAGCATCCCGTGTACGTACGTGAAGCGGAAGGTCAAACAAGTTGACGCCATCAAGCTCAATCCTGCCGCCGGCCTCACAGGGGAACAGGCGAAACAGCGCCGAGATAATGGTGGACTTGCCAGCACCCGTGCGCCCACAGATGCCAAGCTTTTCGCCCGCGCGGATGTGGAGGTTGAAGTGCTTGAGTGCCGGTGGGAGATGGGGGCGATAGCGCAACACGACGTCCTTGAAGTCCACGCTGCCCTTCGTCGGCCAGTGGGGCGGGAGCACCTGCAGAGAGAAGAGGGAAGAGGAGGGGAGGGGTTAGCATAGGTAAGAACGACAGCTACGAGTATACGAGGTGCTGCGAAGATCATGTGTGCATGTGTGTGCCATTCATACACAGCCACGTTTCATGATGGCGCGCGCATTTCAGTCGCTTTCACAAGGGCAAAGCAAGATTGCGCAACTGTCATCGTGCCAACAACAACTCACGGGAGCGGGAGCTTCGTCGCCCTCCTTGCTGTGGTGGGAGGTGGAGGTATCAATGTGTTCGCGTGGAATCTCGAGTGGAAGTCCTTCCACCTCACGAATGCGCTCCAGACTTGTCATGTTGTTCTCCACCTCAATGAACATCTTCACCGTCCACGACGTCAGGCCCATCTGCACGCAACAGAAACGACCGTGGATGCGTGTGAATGTGCGTGTGTTAGTGTGCGTGAATGCGTGTGAAAGTGCATGCGTTAGTGTGCGTGAGTCTGCGTGAGTGTGCATGACAATACACGTGCTCTATTGCATAAGTAGTCAACCAATCAGGCTGACTTCTACAACATCGTTCTACACATCATAATCATCACCTTCACCACCACCACCACCATCAGCAAAGTGCTCACCAGTTGGAGGCAGTACACGAGAGCAAGGCCGATCAGCGACGCATCAACATCGTCTCGGATGTGAACAGCAACCAGACAGAGAACCGTGCCTGATGCAACGGTGGAGAAGGAGGGGGAAGGGGTAGAGGAGGAAGGGCAAGACATGAGCGGAGTTGAGGAGAGAATATAGACCATTCGTGGGCGCACATGCTGACGAACACACACACATGCACACACACACACACACAGAATGCAACACACACAAGCACACGCATGCACACACAACACGCAAAGCACACACACACACACACACGTTCACCGGAGTGCCCGATCACCGCCTTACCGACAGCGGTTGCGAGGCCGTTGAATGTGATGGACATCCAGCGCTCAAGCAGTTTGTTGATGAGGAAAATCTTGAGGTGATGGTCAATGGTGGCGTGGACTTTGGCCGTCATGTGCTTGGCAACCCGAAACGCTCGCACAGACACCCTTAGATACGTGCGCATGTGTGTGTGTGTGTGTGTGTGAGTATGCGTGTGTGTGTGAGTGTGTGTGTGTGTGTGTGTGTGGGCAGACACGCATGGTTTTGGTAAGATATGAGCTTTGACATGACGCAAGCGAAGCACGTAACATAAGGCAAGTTCAACACGGAGGTGAGCATGCACGGTCAATACAACACGTGTTCAGACACACCCCACGCACGCAGCACGATAAGGCAACGTGCCACAGCTGAGCATCAGTCATGGCAACACACCTGCTGCTGAGGACTTGGGAGAAGAGAGAGTAGATTGGAGATTTGGTGATGGCCTCAATTCGCAAGAGCTCGCGTGAGGTACTGCGGTACGTGTTCTGCAACAGGTCGTGGACAGATGGTGAGCAGCGAGCTCTGAAGCATCAAGCACAAGTGTCGCAATAACATACAACTCTCATCCACGCTGTAAACACGCACAAACAAAATTTCCGTGCATACGCACAACACACACACACACACACACACACACACACACACACACACACACACACACACACACACACACGATCAACACACACACACACACACGATCAACACACACGATCAACACACTTGAATGAAGTATGTTGCGAGGAGGAGGGGTGCAATGAGGATGAGGAGCCAGGGCACGCTCACAACAGCAAGCGCCATCGCCGTTAGAAGAACGAAGATGTTGTCCAGAAACTGAAACAGAAAATCAGGCAGCAGCATGTCCACTCGGTGCAAATCTGACAGTTGGAGTGGTGTGTGCGCGCGTGTGCGTGTCGTGAGTGAGTGTGTGCTGTGAGTGTGTGTGTGTGTGTGTTTGGGTTGTGAATGTACGAGTGTAATTGAGTGTGTCTGCACACCTGTACACGAACAATACACACACACACGCGCTTCTGCTGCCTTCCATCCCCACTCCTCCGTCCTCTCGTCTCGATTGCACGTGCGAGCACCAGTGGCATTGAGACCTGTGGAGAAGCGGTTGAGGAGGCGACCGGGCGGATTGCTGTGGAAATAGGCCATCGGCGCATGCAGCAGCCTGTGGTGGTGGTGGTGGTGGTGATGGTCGTGATTGGGATTGAGCATGCAAGTACTGAAATCACGTGCACTTGTACACACACACACACACACACACACACACACGCACACACACACGCACACACGCACGCACACGGCACACACACACACACACACACACTCACACACACACACACACACACGCACACGGCACACACAGACCTGAGGAGGGCGTGGAAGTGGATTGCGCGGGAGCTGCGCATGGCAAGGTATGTGCAGAAGAAGGAGCGCAGCACAGCGACAACAACATTGCTCGCCACCCAGATGAACAGCGATTGCGTCCAGAACGCCGTGGTGTGGTTGCGCTGCAACGAGAGCGATGGATGATCGAAGTTGTAAGGTCGTGAATTGAAATAAGTGCACACAGACATTGCTGTCACACATGCAACGTCATGTGACCAAATCAACAATACCATGACTCCACACGCTCGCATCACTCAAACTACGTTCACACACACAATGCAGACACACACACACACACAAACACACACAATGCACACACAAACACAAACACAAACACACACACTACACTCCAACACACACATCCCCTCAAAGCATGCTTACGAGGTCTGGTGGGAGGTCCTCGGACTGCGGATCGGCATCTGTTGCCCACCACGTCAGCCACACGTCCGCCATCACTCGCACGCACTGGCCAAACACGTACACAAACAGGACTGCAAAGATGACGACCCCGCCCCACTCCCGCGGACGCTGGAGCCACGCGTACCCTCCACGCTCGCTGCGATCACGCGTGGAGAGCTGTTCCGGATCATACGTCCAGCTGCTGACGGATGCAGCAGCAGCGTAGGCCTTGTACACCGCCCACGACACGGCACCACGCTCTTTCTCCTCAAGCACCGTCAAGCCTTCATTGGCAGCAGCAGCAGCAGTAGCAGCGGTGGTGGCGGCGGCAGGGGTTGATGTCTTTGCTGCGGCTGGGGTTGACGCAGGTTTGCCTGCCACACTGTCATCGATGCTGTTGCTGTCGGTGTTGTTGGTGGCGCCAACACAACAGGCAGCCGGGGCTGCGATGTCCACGTCTGCACCATCTTCACGTTGCAGTTTCACGCCATCACCGCCGCTGTCGCCATCAGCACCAGTGCGGCGCCACTTGACGTGTGCAATGCGCCCGTCCTCAATTGTCAGCACAACATCGGCCTCCTTTGCCAGGTCCTGGTGTGAGCTCATCACCACAAACCGCGTCTTGCCAGCGAGCGCTCCTTGAATGCCTGTCCATGCAGTGGCACAGGGATTGACATTAACAAGAGTGAGCGGCAGTGATTGTGTGTGTGTGTGTGTGTTTGTGTGCGTGTGTATGCATGTATGTGTGTGCGTGTGTTTGGAGGAGTGTTACTTGGTTACCACCACGCGCACAAACAGACAAACGCACACACACACACACACGCGCGCGCGCGCGCACCGTTTCGAAACATGTCGCTCGCCACGTGGATGTCAACAGAGGACAGTGGATCGTCGAGTAAGATGGTGTTGGCGTCAAACGAGTGGTAGATGCAGCGGGCAAACGCAACGCGCGCTTTCTGTCCGCCAGACAAATTCACGCCATTCTCGCCAATCTCTGTTGTGTGGTTGTGTGCATGTGCATGTGTGTGTGCGTGTGTGTGTGTGCGGAATCGGTGAAATTGTACTCCTCAACATATGCACGATCATGTCAGCGTTCACTCATTCCCACATACATACACGCGTTCACACCAAGATACAAACGCACACCACACGTGCACGTATGCATACGCACAAGCCTCCACGAAAGCCTATATATGCACGCACCTGTCTCTGTGCCGTGTGGCAGAAGGGCAATATCGCGGTCCAAGCAGGCAGCGGTGACGGCGAATTTGAATTTGGCGGCATCAAACGGGGCTCCAAACAGCACATTTTCCCTCAGCGTGAGATTGAAGATGACGTGCGACTGCTGCGCATAGCACATCTTGGGGCGGCGGCGGGCACACGCTCTCCTGCTCACGTCACTCGTCACAGTCGCGGAGTTGTTCATGTTGATGTTGGCGTTGGTGCTGCTGTTGCTGTTGCTGTGGTTGGCAGTGGTGTTGTTGGCATCGGCACGTGCTGCTTGCTGTGGTCGCTTGGAGTGACCATCGCCCTTCCTCACAGAACCACCCGCACCACTGCTGTTGTTGTTGTTGTCGTGGCGCCACAGTTCGCCCAGCAGGGAGAGGAGGAAGGCAGTCTTGCCGCTGCCAACGCGACCAACGACTGTCACGAGTGACCCGGCGGGGATGGTCAGGGGCGTGTACGCAATCTGATCACATGGTTGTTGTTGCGATGCATGATGAGCAAGGGCAACAGTGGTCGTGCAGGTGCGTGCGTGTGTGCGTGCGTGCGTATGTGTGTGTGTGTGTGTATGTGTGTATGGACACCCCAGGCACGCCCAGATAAATAAAACACATACGCCACGCGACAGCAACTTCCAAACGCTTACCGCGTGAGGCGTTTCAGCCATGGAAGCTCTGGCACTTGCATTTGCATCATTGGTGATGTTGATGGACACATCGCAGCGCTTCTGGTGCCACCAGTACACCTCGTTCCCGAGCACCACCGTACCGTCATCATGCACGTGCGAGCCACGTTTACTCGCTGTGCAGCCCTTGCTCTCATCGCTACGATCATGATGACACGTCTTGCCATGACTGTCGCTCCATTCAACGCCGTCTTCATCTTCTGTCTCCGCCTCTGCTGCCTTTCCATCACTGTCATCATCCCTGCGACCACCGTCCACAACATCATCACCCTCATCGTCGTCACCACCATCACCGCTGTCGCCACCATCGCAGGCGGGCGTGTCGCTCTGCTCCAGGTACGTGGTGATTCGGCGGATGGAGGCACGCCCCTCTCCCAGCAGCGCGTACGAGTTTGGAATGAGCAGCATGGGGAAGCGAACAATGTTGATGTAGCTGAGGGTGCTGAACGTCGTCTCGAGTGTGAGATCGTTCCCCAGCGCCACATACACGGCCAGCGTCACGGCGCCAACGACAGACGGCGCAACATACAGCACCGTCCGCATCAACGCGCGCACGTACTGGTGCCGGTATCGAGATGCATGCGAGGGAGGGAGGGTGTGAGTAAGTGTGTGTGAAAGTGTGTGTGTGTGTGTGTGTGTGCAAGTGTGTGTGTGTGCAAGCGTGTGTGTGTGTGTGTGTGTGTGTGTGTGTGTGTGTGTGTGTGTGTGTGTGTGTGTGCAAGTGTGTGTGTGTGTGCAAGTGTGTGTGTGTGCAAGTGTGTGTGTGTGTGTGTGTGTGTGAACCCATGACAACGTCTTCAACGCGTCCACACCTGTTCGTCACAACACTGCAATCGTGCGTATTCCACTCAACCCCACCTCCCTGTATCTCTAGGTGTTCACCTGGATACGCGAGAGAAGCTGCACCTCCTGGTCCCTGAGCTGTGTCAAGCGCTGTGCAAACGGCAGCTCCCAGCTGTACAACTGATGACAATGGCAGTGGTGGTGGTGGTTGTGGTGGTGGTGGTGAGTGATACTAGGTGCTGTCGTGCGAATATGTTGGCGTAGTGGTGGAGGTGATGCCAAGAGGTGTTGCAAAACACGCACGCCCACGATTGACAATCCAGCGTAATTGCGGTGACCAGCACCACCGGTCGACAACCACCAATGATGTACGCAGCAAATTACCTTGATGACGTTCATGCCTGTGATGACTTGCGACATGAGGTTGGTTCGCTCGTCTGTTGTCGCCAGCATCTCGCCTTTCTTCCGACCAACATACCCGCCAAGCCGCGCCTACGTGTGTGTGTGTGTGTGTGTGTGTGTGTGTGTGTGTGTGTGTGTGTGTGTGTGTGTGTGTGTGTGTGTGTGTGTGTGTGTGTGTGTGTGAAGTCGTGGTGCAGAGACGAGGAGCAACCGAGCAAGCGAAAGCGCCTGAATCGTCATGTACACATGTGAACATACACACATACATGTGTACACACATGCACACATGCACACACGCACACCTGAACTGGGATGACGAGGAGGAGGAGACCAAAGCCGACGATGGCGGCGGGTCCAATATCGAGCGCGAGCAGAATCAGCATGACAACCACAAACAGAGGTGACGCCCACAGGTAATGGAACAGGATTTGCATCTGTCGACGGATGTGGCGGTTGGTGATAGTGGTGGTGGTGGTGGTGGTGGTGGTGGTGGTGGTAATGGTGGTGGTGTGAGAGTGAGAGAGAGCTGCAGGTACACGCAAGTCGCACACACGCGCAAGTGTAGACACACACAGAAACAATCATGGTGCTTCAACCACACACACACACCTCAAAGAGGCGTTCTGTGTCGTTACTCATCATGTTTGTGACAGAGCCAACATTCTGGTCTGTGTGAGCGGCGCGCGGGTGGTGTGGAGGGTGAGAAGGTACGAAGCGAACAGTGGGACCGCAGGCAGTCGATATGATGTGGAGATATTATGTAGGAACGCGCAAAGTGAACGAACAAATCGGTGCACACACACACACACACGTGCGCGCGCACGCACAAACACGTACGCTCATACTCACGCGTGCGCGCGCACTCACACACACACACACACACACACACACACACACACACACACACACACACACACACACACACACACACACACACACACACACACACACACACACACACACACACCTGTCGACATGGCGATGGTGAGGGCCTTCTGGAACATGATGGTCATGAGCATGCCACGCATGCGCACTCCGTTGCGGAAGAGCTGGTGGAATTTGTGGTTGATGGCCAGGGCGTAGATGGTGGTGCAGACACCGAGCCCCACGCTCAGATACACACCTTCCCGCACAGGTTTGGTGTCATCCTGAAGTGCAGCCGGGTAGCATTGAGATGAATGAGTGGCAGACACGCATCAGAGAGGCACGATAGAAAACACACATGTGCAGACACGCACACGTGTACGTTCACATATGTTGTACCCGTGCAGCCACTCACTCACTCACTCACTCACTCACTCACTCACTCACTCACTCACTTGCTCACTCATTCACACACGCACTCCCGCACTCACTCAGTCACTCACACACGCACGCACTCACTCACGCACGCACGCACGCACGCACTCACTCTCGCACACGCACACACACACACACGCACACATTGACGCACCTCTAGAAAGGCAACGATGCGCTTCACGAGAAACGGCTGCAGACCCGCGGAGGTGCACCAGATGACATACAAGCCGGCGGCAATCAGCCATCGCTTCCAAAACTTGGCCGCCAGCAAGTGCCACAGGTTGATGCGGCGGCCACGGTTGCGCGCTCGCCATGACTTGTAACTGGCCAGCAGTCGGTCGCCATGGTCCCTCTCTGGCAGCTCCCAGATGTCGTCCGCCTGTCAAGGGGAAGAAGGGGGGAGAGGGGGAGAACGTGGAAACGTGGGTGTGTGGTCGTGGCGGAGGCGTGTCACTGGAAATTGGGGGGGGGGGAACAATACCCAAAGGAGACGGCAGTGCACAAGCACACGCACGCACATGCATGTACACGCAAACACACACACACACACGCACACACATAAACGAACGCATGCTCACACAGCACATGCAGACACACACGCAGCACACACACACACACACGCACAAACACACACGCAGCACACGCAGACACACACGCAGCACACACACGCACACGCACAAACGAACGCACGCACACACACGCACATCATCATCATCACACACACAGACCGTGATATCGTTCTTGCGGCCATAAAGCAGCAGCGGCCACAACCAGAGCCAGTACAACTGCGAGAAGAAGGACGACTTGGTAAGCGGATGCTCACGCTTGCTGCCACCAAACCCTCTCGTCCTTGTCTTGTCAGTGTCATCTGCACTGTCGCCAGAGGAGTGCTGTAAACCTGCACCAGCCATTGTTCAACTTGTTACAGTTGCGTGCCTTGTCGTTCTTCGCTTGCAGGAGCGTAGCCACGAAGAGAATTGAAACAAAAGGCACGGCCAGTGTAAAGGCCACGCACGCCAAAGTGCGCTGTGCGGCGGTGTGCGTTACTTCTCACAAGGTGGCAGGCAGCGGTGGCGTGTTGTGTAACAGCAGTAGCCAAGCCAAGGCGTTCATGCACACGTGTGCTCTTCTGGTGCTCGTGTGGCAGCAATGACGACCGGTGGGTGACTGCAGATGATGACGCCGAATGTTGTGTGAAATCATTGGTGAATCGCCACAAAGTCGTGAGTGCCTCGTTCTTGTTGGCTTGTTGTTAGGTTGTTTCACACGACTACACCACGCTCCACGACCACGAAAGCGCGGGCGAAACTGCGAAAGGTCTGGCAGGAAGCAAAGGAGAAGGGTGTTGTCATTGTTGTTGTTGAACTAGTGAACTGGAAGGGAAGGGATAGCTAATGCGGAAAGAAGGGGAAAGAAGACGGAACGAGAGAACGAGTGAGGGTGCTGAGAATGGAAAAGTGCTGACAGTAGGGAACAACTGAAGCTGTACACTTCAGGACTACAGCTACAGGCTGACACGAAAAGCTAGGACAGAGAGAGAGAGCACGAGCTTGGCGCAACAAAGACACAAGGTGACAAGAGAGCTCTGTGTGAAGGTATGCAAACACGTTCACGGTGGTAAGGGTAGAGCAGAAGGATTAAGAAACTACAATCAGGGGAAAAAAAAGAAAGTAACAATGTCGAACACTGGAGGACTCTGACTAGAGGTGGAACTGAGGAGAGTGGAGTTGCTAATGGGACAGGAAGCTGCAATGGGAAAGAAGACAAGACTCACTCAAAGCTCTAAGCGCCTTCCAGAACAGCAGGGCTTCGAAGAAACGAACTGGTGCCGCTAGGTAAGTAGGTAGAACTAAGGCCTGGCACACTCACGCAGACACGAAAATCATGGATAGTGTGGCGGTACTACGCAACTGAATGGAAAACGAAACGAGGACAAACACAACACAGTGAGAGAAGTCAGGGAGGGAGGAGCACACTTGTCTGCACGACGATCAGCAGTTCAGCGCGTGTGACGTGTTGTGACAGAGGGGCAAACAGCTCCACTGGCTGCTCATCAAGGCGCATTCCTGTGAGCAGGCTGGCCAGCAGTGCTCAAACAACGCCATCGCCCATCGGTGTATCAGCGCACGTACAGCTCCATGAACGCTGCATTAGGGTATCGCCCAAGGAATCCCAGAGTGGATCTCTCGGCAGTTGGACTTCCAGTACTTGGCCCAAGGGAGCCACTGTTTCCAACACCATCCAGAGGGCATCCTTGATTGCTTTGGAAACTCCAAGCAAAACCACAGGTGTGAACGTTCGGGTTGGGATCATGGTCGCGAGGGTTGACGTAAACCTTGGTGTCACACCGATTGAGATTGCTTGTAATGTTCTGTTGTGTCGCAGCAAACGACGGACAGCCTGAGGAGCAGGGTACTGGAACGCCAGCAAATAGAGATGAAAGGGACTGCTGGGCGAGCGCGTCCTCGTATGCGATCCACTCGCCAATATCCGACACGAAGAGCAAGTCCGTTGTCTGACCGAACCAAGCCGTACCCTTGAAGTCGCCGCTGCCGTGCACGGTGCCCACCAGTTCGCTGTTAGACCACAGACTGCAATTAGTCCAAGTCCACGTAGCCACGCCATCGTTGGAAAAGCGGGCTGCCAGCGTCCATGGGCGTGCATCGCCGCCAACGAGTCGCGTCTCGCACTTGTGACCAAGAAAAGCGGCGGTATCCAGTCCAATCGAGCACGGGTGTATGGAGGAGGAACTGCCACGAGCCACATTGACGAGGGACGCCACCGTGTGTTGTAGTTCTTGCACATCCACGCCATTCACCAGCACAGGCTGGGAAGGGTCCGTGGTGTTGATGATGAGGCGACCATGATCGTCTTCGCCCAGCCAAGCTTTCCCAGTGCAGCTGCTGCTGAAGCCAAGCAGCAGCAGAACAGCGCAACTGAGAGTAGCGAGAACGCCAAGTGCGCGAGGAGGAGGAGAAGGAGGGGAAGCGGTGCGGCAGCATCTCCCTCGCCATGACAGCGACAGTCTTGGCCACGACAACGCAAAAGCCATGCTCGCCTCTGCCTCTTCAGCTTTCCGTGCTGCTTGTCTGGGAAAATCTAATCTGAGAAACAAAATGCCAGCAAGCACAAACAAAGATGAAAATGAGTCCACGCCACCACAGGTGCAACTCGGCCATGGTCCCTTATTCAACCCCTCCCCCTCCCTCGACCGCCAAGTCCTTTTTGCACTGTTTGTTGAGCCACGTTTCATGTCACAGTCATTCATTGAGTTCACTGATCTGAGCACACGCACACATGATGTGAATACACTTCTTCCCTCTCATTCACCTCCTCTGAAACCCACAAATCAACAACGAAGGTTGCATTGAAGTTGGAAAGCAGTCGAAACAGTGTCCACCCCCATTCACACACACACACACACACACACAGTTATCACACACACACACACACACACACACACACACACACACACAGTTATCACACACACACACACACACACGCACACAGATACACACACCCCTCCACACAAAGCCCTCCCCCCTCCCCAAACAAACGCAACTACACCACGCCCTTGAGGTAGAAAATCCATTCCACGCCCGCGTTCTCGCCCGTGCCGCAGAGCACAACGAGCTTGGCGGTTGCGCTGCCGTTGTGGCCGTCAAAGCGAACGGTGATGTCCTTGGACTCGCCAGCCTTGTACAGGTCGTGCGCCTTGACGGAGAAGGATGGGTGGTCCACCGTGTAGTTGAACGTCTCGCTGGTGGCAAACACGTTCTTGAACGGCAGCGAGATGCGGCTGCTGCCCGTCGCCCGGATCACGTGCGGGCCAGAGGGGCGTGGTGGCAGGCACTGGCCCACCAAGGGGCAGCGGTACTCCCCGCCAACGGGCGAAGACAGCACCATCACCGCGTTGCACTCGCCCAGCTGCGACGGCTCGTACGTGATCTCCACAGGGACCTTCGTGCCCGTTCGGGACGCAGCAGAGGCCGGCACGCTCTGCGGCGCCGTGAAATGCGGCGCGCCCTCAATGGCCACGTGGTAGTCTGTGCGAACAGGGCAGCAGTTGACAAAGTAGTACTTGCGCACCAGCTGCTCCCCAAGGCAGCAGGAGAAGTGCTCCGTGGGCATGGGGTCGGCCTCACGCGCCCGCAGGTGCAGGTCGTACTGGAACGAGCCGAGCTCAGCGCACGTGAGCACGAGCCGCGCCGTCTTCTCCTTGCTCAGCAGCGGCATGTAGTCGAACGTGTACTTGGCGTCTGTGGCGCGCGGCGGCACGCGGAAGTGGCTTGGCCCGTGGATGTCCACGCAGGGGCGCGAGGTGCCCTCCTGCGTGCACGTCATGCTGAACATGATGGGCTGTGGCAGCGGGTTGTGCAGCGAGATGGCGTGGTGGATGGGCTCCCGCACCGTCGTGCTGAGCGTCACCGTCTCCACGCTGTTGCTCGGGGTGGACTTGAAGTGCACCTCATACAGCAGGTACTCGCCCGTGGCCTCGTTCTTGAACACCACCTCCGCCTGGGTCGTCCCTTCCTTGTATGCGTAAAACTGCAGCTCGTACTCGCGCGTCGCCTTGGGCAGCACATCAACGTACTCGTGACCCTGCAAATGGAACGAATCAGGCAAAGGATTGGGGTTGGGGGAGTGATTGCGTTCAGCACAGTGGTGAGTGGAAGAGAAAGAAAGGCGTGCAAATGGAGGATGAAAGACACGACAGCAAAGGCGCGAAACTTGCAGACAAACACACCACAACACAGGCATACACACAACACAACACAACGACAACACACAACACAACACAACACAACAAACCCTCAACAAACCCAAAACAAAACCCCCTCCCCTCCCCCACCCTCTCTCGCTTCAACACACCTTGATCACGGTGGAAGACTCAGCCTTGATCCTGTTGATGGTCACCTTGAAGCGCTGGCTCTTGGGCAGCCAGTTCTCCACATTCAGCAGCAGGTTGTACCACACCTTGCACGGCACCTCCCGCGACAGCGTGTCAATGGGCTTGGGGGCGTTGGCCTGGCCAATCAAGCGATGCAGCACAGCCTTGCCATCAGGCAAGGGGAAGAACACCGAGCCAGTGTGGTAGTTGTTCGCCGCGCCACCACCACCGCCGCCGCCGCCGCCACCGCCACCGCCGCCGTGCTTGTGGCTCTTGCTCACGGTCATTCGTAGCGGGTGGTATGTGATGGGGTACTGCTTCGTCTCCCAGGCACCAACCTCAAGCACCTCCGGCCCAGAGAAGAACTCGTTGTCAATCACAGGCTTGAGCGTCCACGCGCGGTTGCTGTCGTTGGTGATGCGAACCGTCTTGGTCTCCTTCGTCCGCACCTCCGTCTGGAACGACACCACGTCCCGCTCCGCCTGCTGCGGCTGCACCGTGCCCACGAGGTCAAGCAGCACGGGCCGGCCCAGCCCCTCCACCGTGCACGGCACGTCGTCACGCCGCACCTCGTGCGACACCATCGACTTGGGGTGGAAGGTGACCGCAAACACCACCTCAGACCCGGGCGACACATACCCTTCAGTGGGCGTGATGGAGAACCACTCCCCGAGCGAGGACACGTCCCATGCAAAGCGCGTGCCAATGTCACCCGTGTTGGACATGACCACACGGCGCGATGACGTGCTGTTCAGCACCGCGGAAAACGCAAGCTGGTTGTGGTCCAAGTCCACGCCCACGCCGTGGCACGCCCCCTTCACCAGCAGCAGCGGCTCCAGCTGCCGCAGGTACTGCACGGAGATTTCCTCCGTAAACGGCGGCTTGCGCGTGCGCGGCGCAAAGTGGATGGTGATGGGGACCGTTCCTCCGTTTGCGCCCAGCGTCACCACGCCCGCGGGGGCCAGCGACAGGCCGCGGTGCGCCATGCTCTGCTCGTCCGCAGCCAGCGTCACGTCCAGCGGAAGCGCGCTCCGGTTCACAAGGTTCACCGTCTTGCTTGTCTGCGCGCCAATCTGCAGCGCGCCAAAGTCAAGCACCTTGTTGGTCGCCTTGTCCAGCTGCAGCTGAATCGGCACGCCGATCCCAGACACCGCCACCGCCACCGTCGACAGCGAGTTGATCTCAAAGGAGATGCTCTCCTCGTACGCCTTTGCCTCCCGCGGCATAAACCGCACCACCACATCCCGCTTCTCGCCAGGCTCAAGCACGCAGTCCTTGAAGTCAGACTGCAGCACCTCCGTGTCCTTGAACGATGTCGTCAGCACAACCTTGGACGCGTCCTGGTTTGTCAGCGTAAACACCTTCTCCGTCACGGGCATGCCAGCCTTGTGCACAAACGTCTTGCCAAACTTGAGCGACGTGTGGGAGATGTTCAGCTCTGGCACAGACGCGCGCCCGGCAACGGGAATCTCATATGTCTCGCCATCCTTGATGCGGCACACAAGCTTGCCGCCCTCAAGGTCTTCCGGGTTGGTGGGGGAGAACGTTGCCGTCACCGCCACCACCTCCCCGGGCGCAACAGTGCCAGACAGGGGCGCAACCTGCAGCGACTTGCACAGCCGCAGCACCTTGTTCATCGTAAACTTGAACTCCAGCGGGAATCGGCCCGTGTTGGTCACGTTGAACGTGCGCGATGCGCGCTCGCTCACCTGCACCTGGCCAAAGTTCAGGGCATCACGCACACCACCGTCCGCCATCACCACCACGTCCTCTTCGCCCTCATCTCCATGCTGCTCCGGCTGCTCAGCTGCAGCAACGCCGCCATCACCACCACGGTCGTGGTGGGCAGCGCCGCCCTTGCGTCGCCGTGCGCGGGGCGTCACGGGCTTCGATGCTGCCGGCGTTGCTCGCGCGTCATCCGTTGCAGCGGCGGCAGCAGCAGCAGCGGCACGGCGACCGCGCTGGCTCACACCGCCTCCACCACCACCACCACCTCGGGTCGCGCGTACGCGGCGCTCACCGTCATCAGCACCGCCGGCATCGCCGTGCTGCCCAACAACCTCGTCTTCGCTGATCTGGCCCAGGGGGTGGGCACGGGCGTGCTTCTGGCCACCACCGCGCTTCCCGCCACCACCTGCAGCAGGTGTTGTTGCCGTCGCCTGATCGCCAGAGGTCCTGTTTGCACCACTGGCATTGGTCGCCGTCGTGATGGTGGTCTTGGCAGAACCGAGTCGACTCTCCGTGTTGGTGTTGCCGCGCTTTGCACGCTTGCCTCGCTTCGGGTGCCCAGGCGGTTTCGGCCCGCGCACGCGCCCACCACCAGCACTGTGAGCAGACTCGCGTTGGTGATGCTGCTGGCTCTGCCGTTGCTGCTGTTGTTGTTGCTGTTGCTGCTGCTGTTGTTGTGATTGCGACTGCTTCTTCTGTGTGGCAGCAAGACTTGCGCCCGCCTTGCTACCGCCGCGTCCACGCCGAACAGTGCCAGCGCCAGCACGCCTACTTCGCGCCTGGCCACTGGCCGCCGCAGCAGCCTCTTCTGCTGCTCGCTCCTCCACGCTCTTGAACGAAACAACGTTGCCCGTGCGAAGGGACGGCAGCAACGACAGCGCGCTGTGCGGCTGGTACCCCTCGCACTTGAGCGAAACCGCAATCGGTGTGGGCTTCTTCACCACCTTGCAGTGCAGCTTGCACGCGTACGACTGCTCGAGCTTGGGCGCAAACGTCACCGTCACGCGCACGCAATCGTGGGGCGCAATCTTGCCACTGGTCGGGGTCACGCCCACACGTGCGCCGGCGTTGAGCACACGCAGCTCCTCCTCATCAAAGCGGAATGAGAACGGGCGCGACTCGTCGTTCACAAGCTCAACCGTCTTGGACTGCGGCTTGGAGCCAAGCATCATGGCACCAAAGTCCAGCGAGCCGGGGCTCACCAGCACACGTGGCTCTTCCGCGTGGCCGACAACCAGGAACTGCAGCTCAAAGTCTTCCTCCGGCACAGACAGCGTCCAGAAGGTTTCCACAAGGTCGAGCGTGTGCGGCGTGTACTGGAAGGTCATAGTGACCCGCTCGCCAGGCACGAGCGTGCCGTGCGGTGTGACCACGCGAATCGGCCCACACTCAATGTGCTTGTGGGAGATGACGGCCTCGGGTGAGTGGCACTTCCATTCAAACGCGTGCGGCTTCTCGCTCGGGTTGAGCACGTCAAAGTTGAACGTGTTGATGACGCGCAGCCCACACGACGACAGCTCAATCACGCGCGTGCCGTCCTTCAGCGGCTCGCCAATTTCACCAGAGGGACCGGGCAGTACGCTCGCCCGCCGCCCTGCTTGAAGGTAGTCCGAGTCCTCCAGGAACACGTGCGCCACAGGCATGGCACTTGTCCCCGTGACGTCAATCACTGGCAGCGCCGATGCCTCCTCGTCCGCGCGCAGCACCTTGCACGTGAGCGAGGCGTCAAACTGCTCCACGGTCGACGGGCAAAAGTGCACCTGCACCGTCAGCGTGCTGTTGGGTGGCACCGCGCCAGACGCAGGGTGCACGACAAACGGCAGCGGCACGTCGCGCTCCGTCATCAGGTCGTCCTCAAGCTCAAACTCAAACAGCGCCGGCACGTCGCTCGCGTTGACCATGTCAAACGTCTTGACAGCCGTGTCGTACATAAACACCTCGCCAAACGCAAGCTCCGTGCACTCGTACGACACCTGTGGCCTGCCAATCACGCCCTCGCAGTGCAGCATCTGCTGCTTCTCTGTGTCCGGCAGCACCTCGTGTGAGGGCTCGGGCACGGCCTCCCGCACCTGCACGTGCTTCAGCCGCCCGCCATCGTGCTCCTCAACAGCATAGCGCAGCGTGGTCTGCTCGCTATCCCATGACGATGAACCATTGCCAGCACCGTCGTCACTACCACCACCACCACCACCGCCGCTGTTCTTGTTGACGGCGGTTTCCGGGGATGAAGCGTCGTGTGCGATGCGAATCTTGCTGTACCTGTACACAACCTCCATGTTGTCCATGGCCACCGTGTTTTCAGAGGATGCCGTGATGCTGACTGTCTTCGACTGGCCCGGCCCAAGGTGTGCGCACCGTGGCGTGATTGTGAAGGGTTGCTGGTGCTCCGGGAACTCAAAGCGAATCACATCCAGGCAGCAGTTGGTGAGCGTGACCTCGCGTGACACGGCCTCCCCAACCAAGACGCCACCAAACACCAACCGCGTTTGGCCAGGCTCCTTGTTGGCTGGGTCTGGCGGCACGTCCACCACGTGCTCGCCCTCCAGCGTCAGGTCGTTCATGAACCCTTCGCCCGTGATGGACACAAACACAGACTCAAAGTCGTTGTCCTTGAGCGCCAGCTGCAGGCACGAGGAGAAGCTCTCCATGGCCCCGGGCGCAAACTGCACGTCAAAGGCAGCCATCCCGTACGGCTCAATGGTGACGGGGTCTGTGCCTTGCAAGCACGTGAAGGGGCCGTCGCTCGCCGACAGCTCAACAGCGGGCTGCGACGTGCTGTCCACAGCCTTGCTCTCGCTCAGCTTCGGCAGCGTCGATGTGTTGCCGCCACGTGCAGACGCGGCGTCGTCATCCCCGAGCGAGGACGAGTGCTTGGACTTGAGCTTGCGCTTCTCCTTGCGCCCCGACGTGCTGTCGCGGCGCCCGCTACGCGAGGACACGGGGCGCGTGCCAGAGGCAGAGGCGGTTGCTCCGCGCGAATGCGACGCACGTGATGACACGGGGCGCCGCGGCTTCACCCCCATGGAGGCAGTCACCTCGGCGGGGATCGGCCCTGCGTTGCGCAGAACCACCGTGGCCGTCCGGTCGTGGTTCACGAGGGTGCGTGGGAAGTGAAGCAGGGGCAGGCGGTCTGCTGTGCGCGCCACGGGCTCAAGCACGGTCACGCGCGGCAACAGGCCCTCGCCGTAAAGCTCAAACGACATGCTGCTGTTGTTCTGGTCTGCGCCGTCCACCAGCACCTCCAGCTGCGCCTGGTATTGCTGAATGGCCGTCGGGCTGAACGTCACCGTGACGTACCGCGTCTCCTTGCTCTGCACGGCGAGGGAGGCCACGTCCACAGAGAAACCGTCGACAGTAATGGCCGCAGCAGAGGACGAGCCGGTGCCGCCCGTGCCGCCGCCCGTGCCACCGCCGCCAGCCGTGCGACGTGACAGCGTGCCAGTGCCACCGGCACCGCCATTACCGCCTTCCTTGCGCAGCAGCACCTGCACGTTGGCCTCCACCTTGGTCGTGTTCTCAATCTTGAAGCGAGCTGTCGCCGTCTGGTTCACAACCACGGCACCAAAGCTGAACGTGCCGTCCTCCCTGGAGAAACACATGGGCGGGCGATGCTGCTGTGCAAGCGTTTCCACTGGCGCACCAGCTGTCCCCGGCCGCTCAGCAAGCGACCTGCGCAGCGTGGACATGAGCGATGACGACTGCGTAAGCATGGATGCACCCGCACCTGTGCTTCCGAGTGTTGTCGTGCCGGCACGCGTGGAGGCTGACATGGTGGGCCGGCCGCTGCGACGACTGGCACTACCACCACGACCACTGCTGCTGCTGCTTGTCAGCTCACGGAAGTTGCTGCAGACGGTGTGTTCGGCAAAGACAACGCGTGGGTCCTTGTTGATGGCTGGCTGGCACGCCTCCAGGCTGAGCTCGTACACGAGGCCGCCTGGGTGGTCGTTCTTCGCACGCTGCTCAACGTCAATCACCAGCTTCTGCAGCTCTTTCACAGGCATGCTCGTGTCGGCATCCACCGTCACCTTCACGCTCGCGCCAGGCTGCACCATCCCCGCTGACGGGTACACCGTGAACACGCCCAGGCTGAACTTGCCACCGCCGCCACCCTGTGCGGCCATGCCCGCGGGGTCGATGGAGCGACGACCAGATGTGGTGGACATGCGGCCCGTGCGCGAATTGCCTGCAGGTACGTTGCCCATGCCGCGCGGGCGCGGCGTGATGGAGGGCCCGCGCACGTTCTGCTTGCCAATGTTGAACTTGAAGTCGTACTCGCCCACGTTCTTGATGTAAAACTCGCGCGTGGTCTTGGCCGAGGCGCCGGCGGTGATGGCGCCAAACTTGACGCCGCTGGGCGGCACAACGGCGTACTTGCTGTACACCGCGCGCACGGAGATGTGGATGGGCACGTTGGCAATGACCTGGTTCATGTGCGGCTCCGTGATGCAGCAGCGCAGCAGGGGCGCGCGGTTGAGTGTAATCTCCCGCCGCGCACGCAGCGTGAAGCGCACAGCCGTGCTCTTGTCGTTGGGCATGAGCGTGCCCGTGGCGGGCGAGATGGCAATCATGTCCTCCTCAAGCTTCGGCGCGTGCTTGCGCATGGCCTCGCGGTCAATCTCAATCCTGTACTCAAACTCGTACTTGCCGCGGTTCTTGATGCTGCACATGAGCGTGCGCTCATCCAGCACGCGCATCGTGTCGTACTCCAGCACCGTGTCGCCGTGGCGCGGGAAAATCATGTCAAACATGACATCGTACGCCTCGCCCGTGATCTGCAGGTGCTCCGTCACCTTCTCGTGCACGTTGTCCATGTCCGCAATGTCCACATGCAGCGTCTTCTTGGACAGCGTGAGCGGCCGCGAGCTGCTGAAGAAGAACGACACATCCTGCGTGCTCAGCGGGTCAACCACGCCCGACGACATGTCCGCCGTCACTTCGGGCACGTTCTCAAAGCCGTAAATGTGGAAGGCGACGGGGAGGCGCGTTGGGTTGCGCAGTTGAAGAATCTTCGTGTCAGTCAGCTCGAGGAGCACGCGATCAAAGTTGATCTGCTTTCGATCAAGCTCAAGCGACGGCTTCACCCCGGACACGTGCACGTTGTACACAACAGGCACAGGGTTGTCCTCCACGCACAGCACCAGCTTGTCCGTGTACTCCTGCACCAGGCGCGGCAGCGCAAACAGCGTGACACTTGCCGCCTCTCCGGGCTGTACCGTCACCATGCTGGGCACAACCGCAAAGGTGGGCGTGATCCCCGGCTGCTCGTCCGCCAGCGCACAGCGCACGGTGATGGGCTTGGGCCCGGGGTTGCTCAAGTTGATGGGGAAGCGGCAGCTCTCCATCGTGTCGTCCAAGCGCTCCAGTGCCTTGCGCGAGTTGACGGTGAGGATGGGCCCAAAGTCAATCAGCCGCTTCGTGGTGATGTACGCCTTGCCGTGCAGCCCGTCAGGGTCCTCCTCCTTGCGCACCAGCGACCCAAACACGGTGCGTGGGCGCGTGTCAACCTTCGGGAACTCGCTCACGCCGCGCACATACACGGTGTACTGGCGGTCCCCAAGCACCGTTTGGAAGTTGAGGGCCTGGTCAAACTGGCCGACAGCGGTGGAGCGGAAGCGGAAGGGGATGACAACCGACGAGTGCGCAGGGATGGTCCACCGTGGTTTCTCCAACACAGCGTGCTGCGGCTGCTCACCAGAAGCGCCACCACCGCCACCACCGCACAGCAAATTGCTGCTGCCGTCGCCCCAGTCACCAGCAGTGCCGCTCTGCGACAGGTCCTTCTTCTTCTTCGTCAGCGTGTCGCGCTTTGACGAGCGCGGGCGGCGGCCCGATGGCGTGCGTGCACTCGCACCACCCGCGTCCTTGGCCGGCGTCGACGTGCTGCCGCTGGTGGGCTTCTTCCGCAGCTTGCCACGCTTGCTCGACTCCGCCTCCTCCTCTTCCGCCTGCTTTGCCTCCAGCGCAGCGGCCTCAGCTGCTGCTGCTGCCCGCCTGTACCGTACCAGCCGGTCCACAAACTCAAATCGTCCGTTTGAGTCAAACGGAATCGGGTCCAGCAGCTCTGGGCGCGTCACCACCGTAAAGTCCACGGGCTCGTGCTGGTCACGCTCGCTCTCGTCCTGGCGCAGGCGCACAAAGGCAAGGTTCTCCTTGCGCGGCAGCAGCGGGTGCGTCATGAGAGCTGTGGCTGTGTCCTCTGCAGTCTTGTCTGCGGGGACGGCAACAACAGGCACAAACTGTGGGCCTGCATCTGCTTCGCCGCCGTCTTGCTGATCACCGCCCATACCATCACCACCACCAAGACCGCTGCCACCGTCAGCGCCGCTGCCGTCTGTCGTCGCAGCGCCAGCGCCACTCGTGTTGTTTCCTGTGCCCGCGCCTTGCCCCTGTGTGGGCAGGTTCAGGTCGGGCTTGGAGGAGCTTGCCTGCAGACGCTTGTTACGGCGGCCAGGCAGCGGGGACGTTGCCTCGTTCTGCGGCGCAGTGATGTCACGCACGAGGGTGCACGAGCGAAGATCAAACGCATCGACGGCGCGCATAATCACTTCGTCCTCCGCAGCGGACGCCAGCACCTCCTCCTTGAACGGGGTGGGCGACAGGTTGGTCAGGTCAGTGTCGTCGCGGGCGTTGTTGCCTGCGTTGGCACCGGCACCACCGCGTCCACCGCCGCCGCCACCGCCACGATGCCGCTGACCACCACCACCACCACCACCAGCGACGTTGCTGCCGTGGTGGGCCTGTGATGTGCGTCCGTGGTGGCCCTGCTGGCCGGGCTGGGCGAGCGTCGGCCCCTGCTGCGAGGACCGCCCACTGCCAGCGTCGAGGTTGGCTGGGCCGGGGCTTGCGCTGGCCTTCATGCCCTGCTGCTGGCTATTTGCCCCTGGCGGGTGCACGGAGCGGCGGCGGCTGCGGGACCGCGACCGCTGCTTGTTCGACTTTTCAATCTCCTCTCGCATGCGCGCCTCCTCCTCGGCCTGCGCCTTCTTCAGCTCGCGCTGCTTGCGGCGGTACGCGCGCACCTGCATGTCGTACGCGTGCTGCTCCTCCGGCGACATGGCGTCGTACTCGTCCTCGTCAATCTCGGGTGGCGCGTCCAGCTCCGTGTCCTCGCGGGCAGGCTGCTGCCGTGCCTTGATCACGCGCTCGCGGTGCTCGCCCATCAGCCGCTCAACGCACACCGCCTGGTCAACCTCTAGCCGCACAAAGTAGAGGTGCTCGCGGCGGTTCAGCGCGGCCAGCCACGCCGTCAGCACCGTCACGCGGTCAGCAAACACGGACGTGAGGCCATCGACCACAACGCCATTCATGGTGTCGCCCTGGCGCACGCGCCACCGCAAAAGCGCCACCAGCATGTCGTGGGGCACGGGGCGGGCCATGCTGAACATCTCCTCAACAGGGTCCACGGGCACAGTGGGCTTTCCGTGCGGGTCTGTAACGCTGGCGTTCGTGTGCCTGCGCTCGCCCAGGGTGGCCGAGGCAGATGTGCCGCGACGCGAGGTGGTGGCGCTGCTCTTGCGTGACTGCCGTAGGTGCTGTGTCATGGAGCGTGGGCGGGATTGCCTCCGCTCATCGCCTTCGCCACCGGCGTGCAGCTGCTGTTGCGAGACACTGTCGCGTGCGCCAGAGGCACCTGACTCCCGACGTGGAAGTGCAGGGGACGTGTGTTCGCTCGTGCGGCCATCCCCACGCGAGGTTGACGAAGCAACAGCAGCAGCAGCAGCAGCGTTGGCACGCATGCCTTGCTTTGTCGCCGACCCACGCCTGCTGGACGGCTTTGAGCGCGGCATCTTGCCACTGTCCTCCTCCTCTGCAGCAGCAGCCACCTCGCTCTGATGCAGCTCGAGCAGGTACTTGCGGATGGCGCGTGCCTCGGACGTGTCTGCCTTGATGGCTTCGCGAACAACCGTGTCCAGGTCCAGGATGACAGATTCGTAGTGCGCAGCTGCCGCTTTGCACAGCGTGGACTTACCAGAGGCGCGTGGGCCGTGCACAATCATGTTCACGCCACCCATGTCGTTGCGAAGCATGCGCTCGTACCGTTCACCGCCAAGGTAGCGCGTGAGAATGTCCTCCACCAGTTTCACCGCCTCGGGGTTCTCCGGTGCTCGGTTGTTGCCACCGCTACCACCACCGGCACCACTGACATTGACGCTTGCATCAAGGGCGGTGCTGCTGCGGCGTGGGTCTGAGGCAACGCTTGCTTGCACAGACAGCAGCGGGCGAGACGAGCGCACAGAGGACTGACGCACCAGACCACCCGGCCGTGTGCCCTGGCGCTGAAGTTTTGACGCCAGCTGTGGTGGCAGGTGCTGCTGCTGTTGCATGGTGACTTGCGAGAGCGGGTGTGCGCTGGAGGTTGGGGGTGCAGGGGTGCTTGACGTGCCTACACTAGGCCCACCAAGCATGTCCACCAGCACATCCGCGGTGCTGCGGCGATCACCGTCCTCCTCGTCGTTGTCGGCATCCGTGATGGAGATGGCACGCGCCATGTGTGCGCGCGCGTACCGCAGCACAGCCTCGGGCAGCCTATCGCCTGGCTGGCGTGGCGGCAGCAGCAGGCGGTCCTTACGGTCGTAGCCGCCAAGCAGCCGCAGGGCATCCGTCTCGCGACGCACCTGCCGATCATACTCCACAGAGAAGATCTCAACAGGCTCGTCACCGTCGTTTGTGACGGCGATGGTGCCCTCCTTGCCCGCACCGCGCGGCATGACGGGGCCAAGCTCAACGCTCGTCGTGTGGAAGTGCAGCTTCTGGTCGGCGCCGCGGCCGTGCAGTTCAACGTACACGGGGTCCTTGCGGTCCTTGATGGTGAAGGGCAGGTTGGTGGTGTAACGCATCTCGTCCGTCGGGTAAAAGCGGATGGTGACGGTCATGGACTGCTCGGGCTCAAGACAGCCCGTGGTCGGGTACACCTCAAACGCCTTGGCCATGTCACGCTGGTGCCGCTCCTGCGCCTGCTGCTTCTTCGACCAGTGTGGCGGAATGGGCTTATCGCGTCGCACTGCCGACCACTCGCACGGCACGGGCTGCTCGTTGGTGAGCGTGATGGTGATTTGCCTGCACATGCCCACGGCGAGCGAGCCAAAGCTGAGCTTCTTGGCGCTGGGCGTGAACGCCGGCACGCACACGTTCGCGCGCACCTCCACCATCATGCGTGGGCCATCCCGCACGCACACGGCAACCGTTTCGTTGAGAGGGCCCTCGGGGTAGTCGTTGCGCAGGGTGCTGGCGGTGCAAAGGGTGATGGTGATGTCCACCTCCTGTGCCGGTGGCACATCGACTACCTTTTGCGGGGCCACGCTGATGCCGCGCTCGGCGAGCTTGGACAGCAGGCGCTTGGGCACGTCGAAGGTGACGGTGAAGGGGGACGGGTTGACCACCTGGATTGTCTTGGAGGTGGAGTAGCCACGCACGATGGCGCCCAGGTCGCAGATGTACGGGTGCAGGGCAACCTTGGTGATGGGCAGGGCGGAGCGACGCGTCGTGAGCAGGGCAGACTTGAGGGCAGCCCGGTCAAACTCTGCATCAAAGCGCACGCTCTCATCCACGGCCACAAAGGCGTCGCTGTCGCCCACGTCATACTCCGGCGCCGGGTTGGCGGCGAGCTTGCGGCAGTGCGCAACCATGTTCTTGTCCTGGGACTGCAGGTCACGCGGGAGGCGCGCAGCAATCAGCGGCACCGCCGTTGTGCCCACGACGTGAATGGAACAGGGCGAGAGCGTGCCCACCTGCAGGCGTACGTACTCCTCAAAGCGGTCGGGCGTGCTTGCAAGCAAATGCACCTGCAGGGGAACCTTGCCGTGCGCGGTGATGACGCCGGACGCAGGCTCCACCCGGACAAGCTGCGGTTGCGAGATGACGCTAAAGGGCAAGGGCAGCGAGTCCTCGTTTCGAATGACCACCGTCTGCGACGAGCGCTTCAGTTGCATCAGGGCCACGTTGTGAAACACGAGCTTCTCCTGGCTCAGCCTGTACCGCTCCGTGGTTGTGATGCCCCTGAGCGTGAAGTCGTACGAGGCGCCGCCCACAATGTCGCAGCGCGCCTGGGCCTGGCACAGACCCTCCGCCAGCGCAAAGTACGACACGTACGCGGTGATGGACGCGCCAGAGGGGAGGTGCCCGCACACGGGGACAATGTCGAAGATGCGAGACTCCTGCGGCTGGCACGCCGCCATGGCCCGCGCGCTCTTTGCATTGACAGCACCGCGCCCGCGCGCAAGCGGCGCTTCTGCGGCATCTGAATTGGTGGAAACGGTGACGGAGGGTGCTGCCGTCTCTGTAGCGCTCGTTGCTGCCGTCGCTGCCGGTGACGCCGAGGAGGTGGCCCTGGGCCGGCCGCGTGGGGTGGCGGGGCTGCCCCGGGTGGCATTGTTGTTGTTGTTGTTGTTGTTGTTGTTGTTGTTGGGAGGTGCTGAGGCGTCAGAGGGGGCTGCGCTTGTGTCACTGATTGGCCTGTCACCACCAGCAGTCTGCAGCGCAGAGTGCAGCTCGGCAGTTGAGTCTGCGGTGGACCCGTCTGTCGAGGCAGGCGGCGACGACGACGTCGTCGGGCCATCGCCCGCGGCTGTGGCCGTGCTCACACCAGCAGTGTCAGCACCGCCACCCACACGCCCCTGAACCAAACGCTGCTGGTTGGTGTTGGTGTTGGTGGTGGTGTTGGTGTTGGTGTTGACGTTGTTTGCGGCTGCGCTGTCCTCTGTGATTGGAGTGAGGAACGACCAGCGGAAGGAGAGGTCCATGGGGCTCGGGTTGGTGAGGGTGACGGGGATCACAGCCGTCGTGTCGTGCATGACGCTGCCGCAGTCAATCACGCCATCATCGTGCGAGAAGGCAATGTTCGGGTAGAACACCTGTGCCTCCAGGTCCACGCCGTCGCTGGGTGCGTCCTCCGCATACGAGATGTGCAGCCTGCCCGTGTCCCGCCGCGTGAACATGTCTGTGCGGTGCAGCGGGTTGTACACGATGCCCACGGGCAAGTCGTCGCCAGAGGCCACCTGCACCGAGCGTGCACCGCCCTCAAGCAGGAAGGGCGGGTCAATGTCAAGCTCAGCATACACGGGCAGTGGAGACGCGTTGTGCAACACCACCTGCTTCCATTGGGGCGTGCTGTCGTCTTGGTCAGACCGCCACACAAAGCGGAGCTTGCTTGCGTCAGGGAGGAGCAACGGGCGAATGAAGTTCGCATGCACCTTCATGCGGTAGCACAGCTTCTGCTTCACCGTGCCCTCCACACACGCCGTGCACAGCAGCGTCTCGTGCACCTCCTGAATGTTGTTGATGTACCCGCGCACGGCAACCGTCGTCGCCTCGCCCTGCTTGAGTGTCACCGCCTCCGGCCACACGCCAAAGACAGAGTAGTCTGGGTCGGGCGGGTTTGGGCACACGGGCGTGCGCTTCTTGCGGAAGGTGCTGCCACGCATCACGGTGCAGTGGCCGTCAACTGCGGGGCCCGGTGCGTCCAGCTTGAAGGTGACGCGCTGCGTGTATCGCCCCTTGTTGGTGACCTCAAGCACGCGCTCGCACTCACGCGAGGCAAACTGCTGCCCAAAGTCGATGGTGCGAACATCCTGGTCAAACACAATGGTGGGGCCTTTACCCTGCACCCGCAGCTGCACATGCTGGTCCTCGCTGTTGGGCACGCGCACCACAAGCACGTCCTCAAACACGCGCGGGTCGTTGAGGGCGAGGTGCACGTGCACGTCTGTGGCGGCGCCGGGCTCCAGTCGCCCGCTCTGCGGCTCACACCAAAACGCCGAATTGCGGCCAGGAATGACGCAATCAAACGTGGCAGCGATGGAGGACTCGTTCGAGAGCGCCACCGTCTTCACAATGTCCTGGAGCACGGGCACGGTGCCCCAGTCCAAACGCGTTTCGTTCGGCGCAATCACGGCGCCCTGCCCGATGCAGCGCACAGTGACCTTGAGGGGCGGGTCTGGCGATCCAAGCACCTCAAACTCAGCCACGGCCTCCACGGCACCCAGCACGTGCGTGCGCAACTCCAGAGCCACGTCCGTTGTGGCGTTGGGCGCAAGCACGCCCGACTGAGGGGAGCATGACAGCTCCACGCGCGGTTTGCGCCGCCGCCCTTGCGCATTGGCGTTGGTGTTCGTGGTGCTGTTGGTGATCGTATCGTCGTCTGCTTGTTCGCCTTGGGGACGACGTGCATGCGCTGGTTCACCCCAGCTGTCAACCTCATCTTCGTCATCACCACCATCATCACCACCATCACCATCGTCATCATCGTCGTCGTCATCATGTGGTGCGAGGGGCAGGAGCTGGTACTTGGCGGGCATGGCGGATGGGTTGCGGAACACGACCGTTGCGGTGTAAGGGAAGCCGAGGAAGCAGCGGTGGTAGTCGAGTTGCGTCGACACCAGTTCAATCTCGGGCACAACGCACGTTGCCGTGACGGGGAGCACCAGCGCCTCTGTCGCCACGCCGGGGATGTCCAGGGCGAGGGAGAGGTCGTAGTTCTCCGTCCACTTTGGCGTGATGTCAACAGCAATGCGGCGCGCGCCGTGTGCAGGGATTGTGTCCGCTGGCGGGTCAATCTCAACCTCGCTCGCTGCTGGCGTGTCCTCGGGCAGGCGCAGTGCATACTGCATGGGGATGGGGCTGGTGTTGGAGAGGGTGATGTACCTGGTGGTGGGGAAGCCAAAGGGCACGGGCCCAAAGTCCAGCTCGTCCACGTCGCACTCAAAGGAAGGGCCGACAACGGTGCCCTGGAAGGTGATGAAAACGGGATCAACAGCACCCTCGGCCTCGCACAGGAACGCCGTGTCCACCGTCCCCAGCACGCTTGCATCCAGCGTCACCTGTGGTTGGAGGGCAGGGGGGAAAGGAAAGGAAAAAGGGGGGGGGGAGGGGGAAGAAATGTGCCGTGGTGGTGGTGATGAAGGTGATGATGAGGAGGAACAAGAAGGGAAGATGAGGGGAGGGGTGCAGGAGGAAGAAACCACGGCGGAGCGCGCTTCACACGTGCAACTGTGAAACACGACAGCAAAACAGCACACACACACACACGTACATGCACATACACACGTGATCACACACGCAGACACAAAGCAATCACAACACAAACACACACTGCGGCTCCACTACACTTCACTTCGCAACACGACACCGAGCACTCCGCAACACGGCAGGCGCACCTCGATGGTGGCCGTTTCGCCAACAGGGAGAACGCCCTCGCTCGGTGTGAAGGTGAAACAGGAGTAGAGACCGCCGTCATCGCGCGGCTCAATCGCAAACGGCGCATCAATGTCCCCCATGTTGGAGAGCGTCAGCGTGTACGTGTGGGAGCTGCCGATGAACACCTGCCCAATGTCGATGGCGTCGACATCAAACTCGACCAGCGGGCCAACGCCCGTTCCCCGCAGCTTCAGTGGCAGGCGCTCCTCTTGCCCTGCGGTGGTGATGATGGTGGTGATGATGGTGGTGATGGTGGTGACGATGGTGGTGGTGGCGATGGGTTGGTCGGTGGTGATGGCGGTGAGAGGAAATGTCATCAAACTTGTGCCGCAGGTTGCAGCTTGCAGCTGGTGACATATAAACGCACACGCACAAGCGCAGCGGCGAGGCCTAAGGAGGCCAGGCAAAGCAGGCAGAGCAGACAGAGCAGGTAGAGCAGGCATGGGATCAGGTGCTTTCTTTGGGTGCACACCTGTGATGTCGAGAAACGCGTCCCGGATATCAGGGCCCGCCACGTCTGGATGGAATGTCACCACAAACTCTTGCTCCTGTTCAAAGGCAACAGGTGGTGAGAATGGTGAGAATGGGAGGAAAAGGTGAGCGTAAGCGTGACAGTGAATGGCGGAGGGAAGAGGGGAAGATATGGAGTCGTGGCGAATCCAAACACACACACACACATACACACACACATACACACATTAATCCCTCCCCCCCCCCTCACACACACATAATAACACCACCACCACCACCACCACCACCCATCCTTCCCACTCACGGCGTTGGGCCAGATCTGCCCGGAGACGGGCTCGACAGAGAACGCCTCGTCGCCCTCAAACGTCTGCTCGTCATCCTCAATCGCGCGCCGCTGGTCCTGGTGCTTGCGGGCAAGGATGGACATGCCATGCGACACCGTTGGGTCCTCGGACAGCATGCGCAAGAACTCGTCCTGCTCCTCCACCTGCGTGGTGTCGATGGCAGCAATGACCTCCGTCTTGAGCGTGCCCTCCTCCTCCTCGCCCTTGAAGCGCTTCCACGCAAAGTCCGCGACGACGCTGCTGCGGTTGAACACGCGCACCACGCGCTGGCTGCTTTGCGTGATAAACGTGTTTTCAAAGCGCAGCGACGAGCGTTCCAGCCGCACGCTCGCGTTCTCTGCCGTGCCGGCCACGGTGGCGGCTACGGCCTCCCCAGTGCCCATATGCAGCGTGAGCGGGGCCACGTGGGTCGTGCACGCGCGCGGGTCAAAGGTGACGGCGAGCTGCGTGACTGCACCGGCATCCAGTGCGCCCGTTGCAGGCTGCACGCTGAAGGGCGGGTCCACCTCAAAGGAGAACTTGCCGGCGGCGGTGCCCACGTTGCGCATGGCGAGTGTCTTGGTGGTGGCGTGCTTCACCACGCACGTGTCAAAGGCAATGGTGTCGGGGAGGTCGAACACGGCGCGGCCGCCAACGGCCTGGATCGGCACAACAAACGTCTCCCGCTCCGTCACGCAGACAATCTCCTCTGCGTAGTCCTTGGTTGTGTCGGGGGTGAACTTGATGGTGTAGACGACCTCCACCCCCGGCGCAACTTTGCTGGCGCTGGTGGCGGGCTGCACAATTTCAAAGTAGGGCGACTCGAGCGGCATGAGGCGCAGCGACCGCGCAACGCTGTCAATGTTGCGGAAGGAGAGCGGCAGCGAGATGGTCTCGGACCCCTGGAAGTTCTGGAAGCGCACCGTGGACGGAAACGGCTGGAACAGCGGGCGGTCCACGTCCACTTTGGAGTCGCGGATGGGCTGTCGCGACGTCGCCGCCTCCGTGGTCAGCTCGATAATCTCGGGCACGGTCATCGTGGTGGTGTTCTTGAGCAGCTCCTTTGAGTCCATCATCATCATGCTCATGAACTGGGACGGGGTCGGCAGCCCCGCTGAGGAGGATGATGATGATGCTGCTGCTGCATGCGGTGTGGTGCTGCTGGTGGCTGTTTTGCTGGTGGGGTTAGTGTGGTGCTGTGTGCCTGACTTGGAGCCACCACGCTTGCTCCGGGTGGCAGCGGTTGGTGCATTGAGCGTGGTTGCCAGCGATGCCGGCGCCTCGCTCCGGGGAACAAGCTTCACCAGCCGCCGTGACGACGACGACGACGAGGACGACGACGATGCTTGCGGCTGTGTTCCCAACGATGGTGGAGGCTGCTGTTGTGTTTTGTGTGTCGCCATGATGCCGGTCGGTGCTGATCAGCAGCAAGCGACGGCACAACTAAGCGCGCCAACAGCTGTGTGCCGGTTTGTTGTTGTCTATGATAGCGTGTGTACGAATGATGTGGATGTGTGTGGATGTGGATGGGGTGTGGGTGGGTTGGTGTTGCTGGTAGTAGTGGTTGGTGTGGTGGTTTGTCGTTGTTGTGTTCTTGGAAACCAAGGCACGAAAAATAGCTATATTGTTCATACATTTCCAGCCAGTGAATTGGCTGTACACGACATCACAAGCTGGTGGGGTGTGTGTGTGTGTGTGTGTGTGTGTGTGTGTGTGTTTGTGTGTGTTTGTGTGTGTGTGTGTGTGTGCTCGTCGTTGCACCCCTCTCCACTGCTCTCCATCTCCACTGCTCTCCATCTCCCCTGCTCTCCATCTCACCCCCTTCTCTCGCGCTCTCCTTCTCTCTTCTGTTCAACTTTCCGCGCCATCAACGGCAGTGTCAAAGACAAAACTGACAACAGTCGAATGATCTAATAATACTACAGCAGCTTCAATTAACACGCATCACGCTAATGTTGAACGTAATGTAACCAAACAAAACACACAAGCATGTACCTACACCCCCCAACTCACACAGCTCACA